TATTGTTTGTAATCTCTATCTACAATGTATCTGAACTAGTCCTTTTCTTTGTGTCTATTTTTTTTTCTGTATATGTGTTTGTCTGCAATAAAAAGAAAAAAAAAAAAAAAAAAAAAAAAAAAAATTTTTTAAATAATTATAAAAAAAATTAATCGCGCGATAAAAAAAATGACGCCGTTAATATACACCAACTGAGCTGGATAGCTCACCAACTGAGCTGGATAGCTCAGTTGGTAGGGCACAGGACTGGGACCTGGGAGGCCAGGGTTCGAATCCCACCGGGAGCACATTAACACCAACATCCAGTGAGGGTCCTTGGGCAAGACCCTTAATGCTACTGCCTAACTCATAACCATGAAGGTACAAATAAGCAATGAGATGCCGGATCAGCCGTCGCCCGGCCAAACAAGGTCTGCGTCAGGTGCTGGGGAACCAGAGCACCTTGATGAAAAGTGGGCTACTGGAACAAGGCGAAAGTGGACGAGATGCGATAACAGGGCTCTGTTGGAATGCTACTACTCGAGTAACCCTGGCCAAAGAGGTTACATGCAGAGAATGTGGGCTGAATGGTTACTTCGAAACCCACAGTCACAGTTGACCCCGAAACAACTGGTAGCTCAATGCTCCAACATCCACAAACGGCAACTGCTATCACAGCTTGAGATTGATGAAGTACAACACATATATGATGCCACAGTTGCCGAGGTCAGAGGGGAGATCCCACCAACTGCAACTCCCCAACCAGATATTGGGTACATAGCCCCAATGGAACCGATGACGCTGAACGAGGCAGCGACTGACCTGAAAGCTAAGATCATGGCTAGAATGGGCACAGGGCAAAGACACCGGTTACAGCGGTTGTGTGAAGTACCACCTAAGGATCTCATAGAAAGCGTGAATGCAGCAGTGAGGGCAATACCTACCACCACAATCACTGAAACCAATGAGCTGATATACACTTCAGCAGCAGTGATCCTAGAGATGCTTGGCTATAAGAGCAACCATGGGAGCCATGGACAATACCCACCATGGAAAAGACGGTTGGAGGCTAAGATCAAGGCTCGGAGAGAAGTGAGTCAATTAACAGAGGCCCAGAGAGGTGCAATGAAAAGACCAGTACCCAGAAAGTACAGCCAGATGACCATACCTGAAGCACTCGAAACTGCCAAACAAAGGCTCCAAGCCCTGGCCAGCCGCCTACAGAGGTACACTAAAGAGAATGAAGCCAGAAGGGTGAACAGGCTGTTCGCAACACAACCTGCGAAGGTGTACGCTCAGTGGCAGGGTAACAACAGGGGAGCAGATCCACCGAGGCTGGAAACTGAACAGTTCTGGAGGAACATATGGGAGAAGGATGCAGCACATAACAGAAGTGCACAATGGCTGGTGTCCCTGAGAGAGGAGCACAGCCACCTCCCAGAACAGAACTCAGTTACCATCACAGAGGCAGACATCCGAGAAAGAGTCTCAGGTATGAAAAACTGGACAGCACCTGGCCCTGATATGGTCCATGCCTACTGGCTAAGGACACTCACATCACTCCATGAGCGCCTAGCAGCACAAATGAACCAGCTGCTGAGAGATGGGACTCACCCAGAATGGCTAACCGAAGGGCGAACGGTCCTGATCATGAAGGACCCTGTCAAGGGTGCAGTCCCCTCCAACTACCGGCCAATAACCTGTCTCTCCACAACATGGAAGCTCATGTCAGGCATCATTGCGGCTAAGATAAGTGGGCATATGGAACAATTCATGAGCACAGCACAGAAGGGCATTGGTAGGGACACCAGAGGAGCCAAACACCAGCTCCTGGTTGACAGAACAGTCGCCCAAGACTGCCGGTCACGACACACCAACCTGTGCACAGCCTGGATTGATTACCAGAAAGCCTACGACTCAATGCCACACACATGGATCATGGAATGCTTGAAGTTGTACAATATCAACAGGGCTCTAAGGGACTTCGTTGCAAACTCGATGGGAATGTGGAAGACTACCCTTGAGGCAAATGGCAAGCCGCTCGCACAAGTGACCATCAAATGTGGTATCTACCAAGGAGATGCTCTGTCCCCACTACTGTTCTGCATAGGCCTCAACCCTCTAAGCCAAGTAATTGACCAGACTGGCTATGGATACCGCCTCAGGAACGGAGCAAAGATCAGTCACCTCCTCTACATGGATGACATCAAGCTGTACGCCAAGAGCGAGAGAGACATCGACTCTCTGATCCAAACAACCAGGATCTACAGCCATGACATCGGGATGTCATTCGGGCTCGAGAAATGTAGCAGGATGGTGACTCGGAGAGGCAAGGTAGTCCACAAAGAAGGGATCTCACTCCCAGAGGGAACAATAGCAGACGTTGAGGACAGTTACAAGTATCTCGGTATACCACAGGCAAATGGCAACCTCGAACAGGTGACGAGGAAAGCGGCAACTGCCAAATACCTCCAGCGAGTAAGGCAGGTCCTAAGAAGCCGGCTCAATGGCAAGAACAAGGCCCGGGCAATTAACAGCTACGCCCTGCCAGTGATCAGATACCCTGCAGGAATAATCAGGTGGCCAAAGGAAGAGATTCAGACCACGGATGTTAAAACTCGAAAGCTCCTTACCATGCATGGCGGGTTCCATCCCAAATCCAGCACCCTGAGACTGTACGTAAGCCGTAAAGAAGGAGGCCGAGGACTAGTGAGTGTGAGAGCCACTGTCCAGGACGAAACATCCAAACTCCATAACTACATCATGGAGAAGGCCAAAACGGATGACGTACTCAGTGAATGTCTCAGGCAGTGGCGAGATGAGGAGGTGCTGGAGGAGAGCCCATCATGGGAGAACAAGCCCCTACACGGCATGTACCACCGGAGCATAACAGAAGTGGCTGATCTCAAGAAGTCCTACCAATGGCTAGAAAGGGCTGGCCTACAGGACAGCACAGAGGCACTCATCATGGCTGCACAGGAACAGGCACTGAGCACCAGAGCGATAGAGGCCCAGATATACCACACCAGACAAGACCCAAGGTGTCGGTTGTGCAAAGAGGCACCTGAGACGATCCAACACATAACTGCAGGGTGCAAGATGCTGGCAGGGAAGGCCTACATGGAACGCCATAACCAAGTGGCTGGCATAGTGTACAGAAACATCTGTGGAGAGTATGGGCTGGAAACCCCAAGGTCTAAGTGGGAAACTCCTCCAAAGGTGGTGGAAAATGAGCGTGCGAAGATCCTGTGGGACTTCCAGATACAGACCGACCGAATGGTAATGGCAAACCAACCTGACATCGTGGTGGTAGACAAAGGGCAGAGGACAGCCGTGGTGGTGGACGTGGCAATTCCAAGCGATGATAACATCCGGAAAAAAGAACATGAAAAGCTTGAGAAATACCAAGGTCTCAGAGAGGGAGCTGGAGAGGGCCTGGAGGGTAAAGGTGACAGTAGTGCCCGTGGTGATCGGTGCACTCGGGGCAGTGACCCCGAAGCTAGATGAGTGGTTACAGCGGATCCCCGGAACAACCTCGGACATCTCGGTCCAGAAATGTGCAGTGCTAGGAACAGCAAAGATACTGCGCAGAACCCTCAAGCTCCCTGGCCTCTGGTAGAGGACCCGAGCTTAGAGAGGGATAACCGCCCGCGGAGGGCCAAAGGTGAGTGGACAATTATTATTTATTATATATATATATATATATATATATATATATATACATATATATATATATATATACATATATATATATACATTATATATATATATATATATATATATGAGAAAGAGAGAGAGAGAGAGATACTGTATATCAACAAATTGTGTGCCCCAGGGCAGCTGTGGCAGTAGTAGTTTATCACCACCATGTATGGAGTGAATGAATAATGACATGTGAAGTGTCTTACTCTTTGAGTGTCCAAAAAAGCGCTATATAAAAACAATGCATTATAATTATTATATACTGATATTGAAGCATTTACAGCTAGCTAAGTAAAACATAGCGGATATTGTTTATTTAGTGTGCTCCCTGTGTGCTCCTTCTACTGTCCTATAGGTGCACTGAAACATTGAAATTTCCCTACTGTGGGCAAACTAAAGGTTTGCTTGTCTTATCTTATTTTATATCGAAAAAGTATCCATTTGGCCATTGCAGAAGAGAAATAGTCAAAAAGAGTCATTCCTTGTCTTGTTTGCATGTGGTATAGGAGCTTGGATGAGAGTTCATTTTTTCCCATGGCCACAAACTAAACATGACTGAATCTGTGTTAACCCTTTCACATTTTCAGTGCAGCTCATGACAGATAGCATGAGATGTGAGACATGTCAACAGTGGAAGTATGCCATCTGTGAGCCGATAGCCATTTCAAAGTGCTTTAAAGCCGCAAGAAAAGATGCCTGTGTGATCCAAAACAGTAAATAATGAAACTAAAGCCTTGCATGTCAGTATCTGTGGTGAAATATTGTCAAATTATAATTGTCATAAATTAAATATTGTTATTTGGTGTTAAATGGCTTTAATCTATGTATCTAGATCAGGAATGTCAAACTAATTTTGGCTCAGAGGGGTAAGTAAAAAAAGGAGAGCTGGTCAGAGTCAGGGTGAATTATTTATTATTTTATATACTATACTTTTGCACCAATTATGTATTAAGTTCATCTTTTCAGTCTGTTGGTATCTTGTTTAAGTTATGGAGGCCTTTTAACCAAACTCTTATATATTTATGAGCTTGGATATTCTTTTCTTAACTATTATTCTTTGTTTTTTGGGTTAATTGAAAATAATTTCTACAATGGTCCACAGGCTGCATGTTTAACCCCTTTATTAAATTAAGAAAAAAAACAAATCTGCCATCTCTTCAAAACAGAACTGTGAGTGGAAAAATGAGAAGGTAAAATAATTGTCACGTGATGGAAAAATGAATCATTATAAGTCACATTCAAATGTGGTAAAATGTTGCATTAATTAGTAAAGGCTGGCAGTGACTATAAAAAGATTAAAGAAAAACAGCTTTTCTTACCGAGGCAGGCAGATCCATTGTGGTTGGGCTCATATCCTTCATCGCAGACACAACCTCCCACTGGCACCATCCACTCGCCCTCAGCGTTGCAGTGCATGCGTGGGGGTCCGCCCTGGGCTTTACTGTGGGGGACACAGGTGCCTGTCACAGGCACCAGAGCTGTGGGCTCAGCTCCGGAGGGAGTGGCGGGGTACGAAGCCAAGTGCTGGCTGGTGGCAGGACATCGACGATAAAAAATGGAAACACCCATAAGAGAGACACAAGCTCCACTGTCCACAATTGCCAGCACAAATCTGGTGGAAAAAAGTGAACACTAAAACACATTAGGGAAAAAAACTATGCATACAGTACTTGCATCGCAAGAGCTTTATCATTGTCTATGCTAAATCTGCTAAATAGTTCATTTTCAAATCAGATCAAATAATCTTTAATCAAACATTTCCACCAAGGGCATTTCAAGTGAGATTTATTTAGTCTTGGCCCTAGAAGACGTCTCTACAGTCAACATTGTCATTAGTGATTTTGGAAGCCTAACAGGGTCAGGCCTTGTAGCTGACGAGGGGACTGCTGTTATTATCATACTTGGGCTCTAGTGCTGTGTCCTTGACTATACATTTGCAGTAGTGTGTATGAGTGATCAGAGTCGTCGTGGGGCCAGAGACGCAGATTGGCAGTCATGCTTCCGTCAATCGACCCCTTGGCAGCTGTGGAAGACTTACATCACAGACGATGGAAAGAATGCATATTGCACAAAACTGTAAAGTGACTTGCAGCACATGGAAAAGCTCTTAAATGACTAATGCCTTTTCATTATGAACATTCCTGCAGTGGAAAAAAATAAATTGTTGCAGCGGTTACCCATTGCGTGTGAGCGGGGCAAAGCTGCGGGTCTTCACGTTGATGCGACTGTATCGGTTGGGCTGATATTGGTGTGGAGAACTAGGCTCCACTTTAGAGAAGCTTTTGTCGGCCGCGATGGTGTCAATCTTCACCCAACCTTCTCTCGTCTCCTTGTCCCCATTGGACGGCTTAACACAAACATGAAGGGTTTGATGAGAAGATGTGGCAAAAGTAATTTTTGTATTATGATATAATACAAGCTTGGGTGAAACGTCAATTGTAGATACTGCTTTCGGGCTGTCACAATAATTATGAATTCATAACTGATCCTTTATCATGTCATCATTCATCCCTTTCTTTTTAACATTTATTTTTGAGGTTTAGTAGGATAACAATTAAGCTGTACATTTAATAACAAACACTTATTTTATGGTCTAAACCAGAAACAGAAAAGTAAAACTGTGACTTGACCCCATTAAAATGATATATTTACCTGTATGCTGAGCATGTATGTATGTAATAAAAAAGGATAAGACAGCCCCCTCTATCATGACTAGTGCATTGAACCCTACAACCTCTAAACTACAATAACTGAAATACTCTTCTTTGTAAAATTAATTTTAATTGTTTTTACATTTCTACTCGTATTGTGATTTGAACGTTTTCTTTGTTTTTTTGTGAGGCACTCTTGAGAGTTATCTTGAGTTATATATGTTATATATGTAAACTTAAAATCTAAATGGGGGTGGGAACCTCAGGGTACCTCACGATATGATATGATGTGTGATATAAAGCTCACAATATGACGATGCAGCGATTATTGATATATTGGTCAGAAATATACCTATAATAATTTATTCCATAAATAAAAGAAAAATACACTTATTTCAAGATAAATAATAATAATGCATTGGTTTTATACAGCGCTTTTTTGGACACTCAAAGACGCTTTACATGTCGTTATTCTTTCACTCCATACACGGTGGTGATATATTACTACTGTAGCCACAGCTGCCCTGGGGCACACTGACAGAAGCGAGGCAACCAGTATGTGCCATCGGCCCCTCCAACCACCACCAACCATTCACACACACACCAGACTCATTCTAGGCAATGTGGGTGAAGTGTCTTGCCAAGGACACAACGACAGCTGACAGTTGATGGTGAAAGTCTTGAGGTGAGCTCGAACCCACAACCTTCTGGCTCAAAGGCCAATGCTCCACCAACTGAGCTACTGTTGCTCTACATGGATGGTATCGAGTGTAACATTAAAGTGTAACATTAAAGTGAAAATGAAAAAATGCCTTTTAACCTGCACATTTTAGTAAAAATGCTGCCTTTTTTATATAACAAAATAAGTCTTGCATCCAATAAAACCAATATGAACATTCTACAGAAATGAAAGTGCATTTTGTAGACAAGTTTTACTGACTTTTACTCTTGTGTCCGAAATAAAGTATTGCATTGAATTGAATTGAGAGCCTTGAGACCATCTCTTTCGGCAGAGCTGCCATGCAACAGAGTTTAGGATTTGTTTGTAAACATGTCTATGCAAAAAGAAGTTTGAAAATATATTATATTTCTCCACATGGATGATAAACTTGATGATTATATCTGGTCCTAAGTGAACTGGGCCGTGACTTAGAAGACTTTTGAAGTTACTTATTTTGACCCTTTTTGACCATTATATTCTGACACATTCCTGTTTTCCACAAGGTGAAAAGCAAGACGGGGCCAAACAACACAGCAAACTTTCCTGCTCTTGGTCATCACTATCATAGTCATTCAGTGAAGCAGATCTTTAGGTAAAACATTAGGTATGTTTTCTGACCTAATGCTCCACTGAGCTCATTCTTATCAACCCTGTCAAATCTTGAAGATGAGCCATTTCCATTGGATTCATCTGCTGAATCTTATTCTACTTCCATGATGCTAAGCTAAGTCAATGAACAGAATAAGGAGTATAGTTAGTTAAAAGTGAAACAGAATGTTAAATGGGTGTGTCTGCTGCATCTTATTGACAAAGTGAGCACGCTGCCGCAGCTGCCCCTCAGGGGTTTTGTGCACGACTTCCTGCTCTTCTTTACTCCACTCCCATTCCTCATCAGGATGTATTTGCATTTATAAAAGCATCTTATTTCCTTCAGGAGGAAAACCTTTATATAAATTCAAATGCTGAATGGCTCCCCATGGCAAAATTACTCATTAGAGTCAGTTTTTCAAAGCAGAGGCTGTGTTTACCATTAAAGCCACTTCTGTTTTAGTCAAAGCTTTAGTCGGTTTCCTGTAATCAGTGTAAAGTGGTCACTGTTGTTTACTTTCAGGCTCACAGATGTCATTAATGGTGGTTAAACAACGTTGCTAAAGGCCAATGTGACACACTGTAGTTTGTAAATTATAAACATATGTTTCACACCAGCGTCGCCTCGGTAACATGTGATTCTTAACAGGTTTTATGTGGAACATGAAATAATTTAAGTGATTCAAGTGATTTTGCACTTTAGTCAAAAGCAATAGCAATTGGCTTCACGCAACGCTAATAGGAGCATGTGTAAATAGAAGTGCAAAAAGACACATGACTTGAATATTTATAAGACAAAAGTTGTTCTACTTTTCAACGAGTAACATTATTCTGTGAGTAACAAACTAGTTGAAAAGGAGCTTTTTTGGTGTATCTTACTAGTGGTAGATAAAAGAATTTCCTTGGCTTCCTCGTTTGAATAGCCTTACAAAGCAGAACCTCATGTTCCCAAGTTTGAAAATGATGTCATTATCTAATGGGTCATTCAGATAATGTGATTTCCTATTGAGATGAGTGAGAAAAACTGAGATTCAAAATGTCAATATCAAATCAATAAAAGATCAATAAAGTTTATCTTAACTTATTGTATCTTAATTTGTAGTGTAATTGTGCAACTAATCCCTGTTCGGGCTGATTTAACAAAAAATGTGTCTGGTCTGTTCTCTCTTCCCGGTACTTGTCACAGTGTTTATTAATAATTTATGTACTAAGAGGAACCCTGTGGAGATGTAAACAGATTATTGTTAATGTTTATATAACTTGCTTGAGGCTTTTGTGTTTGCCTGAAGAGAAACATTGGGATAACAAGTATTGATCCACTTTTCAGATGAATAATTAATTTGTGGTTCTTTGCTGAATAATTGTATCTAGGGCTGGCAAAAACTACTATAGTAGCAATAGTTACTACTACTACAACTACTGCTATACACACCGTGTCAATAAAGAAATCCTAGTTAGAATCCCTTTTGCATTGATGTACTGATTAACTAGCAACAGGTACCATAGTGATTTTCAGTGATTTTTTCATTCATAAATTATACTTTGTTTAGCCAATATATTAACCTATATTTATTGAAAAAGTCTGCAAAATATTATTAAAACAGACAGTGAGCACCATCACTAAATAAATTATATGGATGTATTTGTTTTTGATGATAAGCCCAAATCGGATTACCTCCGCAGCCCAGGTTCTCTCCAGCTCCCTCTGAGAGTCGGCTTGTTTGTAGTACAGCGTGAGGGTCTCGCGGCAGGACGGCGAGGGCGACCGCAGACTGGCACAGTCCCGCACAGAGAACTTCAAGGTGACGAAGACCCTCGGGGCGGATCGTCGAAACAGGAACGGGGTGGCCAGCCAGTTGTCCTGCTGGCGAGCGTTCTGGTTCACATTACACACCTCAAATGTCCTGATAAGAGTCCCTTTATCGTCCAAAACAGAAACCTCGTCCCACTGAAACACACAGAGGAGACAAGCATGAAACTCCCTGTACAAGATTTTAAATGGTCAGAAATAGAAGGAGTTAATTTTTCACAATTTCAAACAGTCCAAATTTATACCTCACTTTGTCACTCAATCACACACACTGCAATGGGTTAATAATCATTTGTTACAGCTTCCATACAACACTATTTTTTGTGTGTGACTGGTGTTCTCTATAGCACTTAAGATCTTAGCTGATATAAGAGTAGTTTGGGTCAGACGAAACCAAACAGATCATAGAGAGACGAATCCGAGATAGATGACACTACACTCAACCTTTAGCAAGCTTCACCTGAAAACATCCCAATGAACTTAAAATAAGTGTGTGTACTGCATTGTCGATGACTTTTTATCATTTATCTGCAAGACCATGGCCGTACCTTCAGGCCGACTGACTCATACTGTGTGAGTGTAGTCTGCATGTGCTTCCCAACTGTGGCTCTCGTGGGGTCCTCATTGTTCTGCTGCTCAAAGCAAATGCAAGATATGTAGGTGTATTGTTCAAAGAAAATGCCCAAAGTGTGCCAGTGTGCGTCTGAGCGGGCTCTGGGTTTGCATAAAAATAAAAAAAAGAACTAGACTACCAGGGTAAAGCCGGTGATTCAAATCCAAGGTCTCAATCAGAGGAGGCTGTACTTATGTTCTTGGATAATTCACTTCACCTAGCTGGTGCAAATTCGGATCTTGATTTTTTTCTTCTAAAGTTTATGTTTTAATTTATTTTAAAAGGAATTCAATTAAATGAGCACATAAATGTTTCAATTTCATGCATTGTACCAGAGTTATCCATAAGCTAATATAGATCTGCAGTCCTCCAGCAGAGAAGAGAACGACTGCCAAACAAACAATGTGATCAAGGGTTAAAAACAAATGCATATAAAACATACATACAATACAATTCACATTCACAGACATACAGAGATGTACACAGAACAACATAGTACTACATAATACTCCACTACACCTGGAGTCAGTATATGACATGGAGGGACTATCCCCTGCCACTACTATGCATGGAGTCAGTATATTGTGCTCTTTAAATGTTCTGCCTTAAAGCCTTCCAGAGAGGCACATGTCTTAAGAATGTTTGGAACTCCTTTGGCCTTCACTCATTAGGCTGCTTGAGTTTATTGCCCTGTATCTCACAAACGGCTTTAAAAAAACAGCATTCCTGACCCATATAAATGTAAGACTATTTTATACAGTTATTGTAAACAGAAATACTGGAAAGAATCCTCATACAGTATGCATCATTTCTCCTTCAACTGTGGTCACCTTTTTGTCCTGTTCACTGAGAAACAAAATGTCTTGTTAAATGAAGCCACTGCGTATATTATATTTAACCCCCACTTTGGCATACTGTAAATTTAACTTAAGGCGCTTTGCGGACAGATTTACACTCATGGGCAGGATCCATCCATCCAGCCATCCATTTTCTAGACACAGTCAGAATTCTGCTGCTTGGACCTGCCATGGGTGACATGGACATGGCCATGGGGGGACTATCCCCTGTCACTGGCAGCTTAAACAACAAACAACAAAACACCTGAATTCCAATTTGGAAGTAAACTTGACGCCATGGAGTAAATCCAACTTTAGTCAATCCAGCTTTTTGTGCAACCACATCCTTTGATTTACTGTACTTCAAACGATGAACCTAAAATGCAATTAGTAATAATTCTACAGTACCATCTTTACCATTGGTACATTCCGGTTTAATTTTGTCCAGGAAAACTTCCAAAAAAGAATATCCAAACCCATAGCAATAAACTAGCGCATTAGCACTAACCGCTGCTTAGTTAATGAATCAGATCCACCTGTTATAAGAAATAAAATAAAAGAACTCTTCGAAACAGAATCCACCGCAGAAAACCCATATGGGTTGACCTCTAATGTATCATCCCTGTTCAAGAGCATATAAAGTTGTTTTCGTTCCATTTGCCTTGCTTTCTTTTGACAAGATCTTGCATAACGACCACATGTCGTCAGAACGGGAGTAATAATGCCACATTACCTTGGGCGGCACCATCTTTTGTGAATGAACCGCATATCAGATGTGTAAAGGCGGTTGCATGTTTTAGCTGCACCAATTACTCAGTACAGCTGCTGTAAAGATGAAAAGACTTTGATTCAAAGCGTTGTGGCTGTGACTGACAAGGAGGGCAGGAATTATGTATTAAGCCTCATCATCATTATTCACCTAGTAACAATAGCGACGAGACAAAAGGTCTTGACACCCTATCGTGCCGCTTTCACTCGTTTGAAGCTGTGCGCTGCAGGCCCATGCCGCTCTCCTCTTGTGACTCTGACAGCACATATGAACGGCCTTGGACAAGACAGAGCACATTCACATTTGGGCCCAATCGTGGTAATGATCGTATCCATGCACAGATAGAAGAGTCCGGGGCGCTGTCACAGAAATGGATGGACAGGACAGTGCAGTGATTCAGAGGCTGTCGGATGCACAAATGAAAGATGGAGGGGCAACTCAGACTCAGGGGGTCTTAAACAATCTATATAAGCAATTCTAACACGTGACACTCTGAAGGATAACACCCACCTCATTTTGGCTTGTGCTCACAATATCCAAACCCTATGGTCATTTTTTAGAGGGCAACAACTGTCTAAAGTTTCAGACCTCTAAGTTTTGTAATTTTGAAGCAGTTGCCTTTGACATAAACTATTGCTATTCGGTATACTTTGTGCCAATATGTGCCAAACTCATTTACTCAAAATTTGGTCATCCATCCCATAAAAAAACAAATGTTTACGTTTTGGTACTTAAGCAACCTTCCTGTATGATTTTGTTACAGATTTTCAAAGTTTTATATTTTTATTATAGTATAATTGCATGCTGCCTCAAACCTGCTTAATTTCTCATGTGTTTTGCCTCCATACGTCTTCAATTAATAAAATGGATCAATCATTCAATCAGTGTGAAGTATGCTTTTTGCCTATACTAGTATATTAAGGTAGATGAGAAAATAAGATTTGAAGTTTGGGGTTTGAAGACAACAAAAGATGTTCTTTGACAAGCTGAACTCTGAAAAAAATGAAAACGGCCCAGTGGATGTTAAATGCTTAAAATGTGTGAACTTGTAAAGTAACTTTTTATTCATCTGCCTTGTTATTATCAGTCAATGAACTGTGGAGGAGTGCATAATGCGATGTTTGATATATTCTAACTATTTGCTATTTGTGCTAGGAAATGTATAGGCTCCTCAGCATCTTTTCTTTAGATATTGCTAACTTAAGCGCTGCACCACAGAATGTCTTCTTGGTTCTGTGGTATGGTAAAGTCAAAGAGACAAAAGTTTAAAAAAGGTGAACTGTAACACTTTGACAACTGTGACTGTGCTCTTGTCATGATCCTTTTTAATCCGGTGCTTCAATGCTTGCTCGGGTCACCCTGAAAGAGTGATGTTTCCTCTGGAGGAAGACATTGCTCAATTAAATGGCGCTCAACATCTTCCCACAAGTTGTTAAAACTTAGACAAGGCACTTTGAACGTGGATCTACCACTTTAAATGGGGTTCATTTCACAACATGTTTCTTTGGACTTCAAGTGTGTGCAAAAGATTTTTGAAATTCTTGCATGACCATTGGCAAATGCAAGAATATTGAGCTGCTATCAATGTTGAAATATTTGGATTTTTATGACAGCCTCAAGCAACATTGCCCATGAGCTCATCTGCCAATACATTGCAATCAGAATTAGGTAGTAGCTAAATCTTTCTATGTACTGTATGTATTGAATGTTTTTCATCAGGGAACCATAATGTTGTAACATGGTTAAAAGCTCATAAATGACAATATTATTCTTCATCTTTTTATCATCTTTATGGTTTATAAATTATTCATTGATTTAAAAAGACAAAAGCAACACACACACATCATCAACAACAACAACAGGTTCAGGACAACAAACACACGGATGATAACAACATCAACAGACCTCATTACAATGTTATTGCTGCATCTCAAGCCTTTACCCTCAATGCCCCAGCATTCTCCCTCCCTGATTCTGCTTTCATTTGGGGCCAGTAAACATTGAAACTTTGGAGGAAGAAGAACTGGAACGACTCATCTTTGTGATTTAATTTGAACCGAAATTCCAGAGTCGTGAGAGTGTTTGTGATGCCGGGAGGAGCCCAGGACACAAACACTATAGGACATATGCAAATGCACAAGTTGGACTGAATACTTACCAAGACTGTAAAAATGTTTTTTTTTTTTAAAGAAACTCTGCGGGAAGCCTTAGCATTCAGCTCAAATGTTATTATTATGAAGCTCAAGCGGATGTTCAGACTGAAAGACCGAGTGCCTGCCAGCCTCGAGCCTCAGCCAATCACACAGCTCTGCCAGCCTCGAGCCTCAGCCAATCACACAGCCAGGCCAGCCTCCTGCCAACCCTCTCAGAGCAAAGCGGGCAGTTTAAAAGGCAGCCACTTCCTGACAAACAACGCTTCCTGAGGCTCTTAAACACCCACCACCTCCCCAGCACCCCCTCTGGCTCTTGGCTCCCGCTCTGGCTCCCGCTCTAGGCTCCCACTCCGGCTCCTGCTCCGCCTACGCCCCATTCACACCATACTCTAGCCACCACCAGTGATTGACCCCGGGGGATCTGAGATCATCTCAGCTGCAATCGATCTCATAGCTGCAAGTGTCACTGCCGGGGTCAATGCGCCAAACAAATAAATCATTTTAATGTATTTATCGTGTCTTTGGTCTCTTCAGATTGAAATTCTTATATAAGGTATCACTCAAAATTACTTGAAGCATGTGTGTGTATGAGCAGGGCTTGGTTACTATCTTGAGCTATAGGATAAGGCTCGTTATAACTCATAAAGTTATATAATGTTATAATCATTAACATTTCATTGATTTTGACAGATTTCTTAGTGGTTTGTTCTCAGGCCATAACAGGACCAATCTAGGGTTCTCTTGGCAGGGCTTTTGACGGCTGCCAAAAATATGATTGCCACAAAGTGGAACCCCACTCACTGGCTGTCCGTCCAACAGCGAACTATGACCTTTGTTGACATGTGTACCATGTTTATTTGGAGCTGTCCACAGCACGTGTCCATGGTGCAAAGGATTCAATCAATGAAACGCAAATGGGTAAATGGTAATGTAGCCGATGACTTTAAAAATACAGACTCTATCATTCTTAAGACTCTTCAGCAGTCAAGGCTCACATCATTATTTTCATAATTATTCACCAAGAGTTAACAGTCACAAACAGTAAGTGATCTCTCTCTATGAGGATGGGGTGATGTCCAATACAGTCCACTCATTGGACTGTATTTTTGTTGTAATATTGGTATGTTGTCATTAATAGGATGGAACAGTCTGAGGTCTTTCACTCCTTTGTTCCTCTCCTGCAGCCTCCTCAGAGTGACTTTGTTTTCCTAAAATCTCAGCACAATTGTGGACCGAAGTATCCAATCAGACTTATTGTTAAAAAGTCATGGATACATGATAAATAAAACTGAAAGTAAAACTATTCCAAAACACAATAGTTAAGACATACTCCATTTGGGGAGGAGGCAGTGAACAACGAACAGATATTGCAGCTTGTCAGTTAAGTTGAAAGAAAATGTACAACAAAAGCCAAGAAAAGAAAAGAACGCCTGAAGCTTTCTGAAGAGGACTGGGTTTAAAAAAGACTCACCCACTTCCCTCGTTCACTCTATCTATATTTCCCTCTGCTTTCTCTCCTTCACTCCCACCCCTGTCTGTTCTTCTTTCAGCTAGGAGCCCTGGAGTCAAATAACCATATCCCCATCTCAGAAGCACGTCCTATCCCTGGACTGTAAAGGAAAGGAGAAAAAAGTCATGCAAATCTCACCCTGTGTCACACCCTCTCACGCACAGACTAACCGGATGAATACACCACGTCCTTGGTCTGCAGCTGCCAGCATGGTTCACCAATCCCAAAAGTACATCAGCCACTAATTAATGAAGCCTCGTGTACAATTATGATCCAAGGCAGAGGCCCGCACCAGGGTGATAATGGCGGCTTGCAGCGGCAGCTTTGGTGAGAGGAGGGAGTCTGCCAGATGTGTGGAACAGACACTACTGTTTACTTTGGGCTTTGAAGATGCATGTGGTTGATGCCTCATCGTTTTTATGGGCCAACGATTTGCAGGCTTCAAAATTTTTAGGGAGAAAATCCCTGTGAATAATTCTGCAACATTTTTCATAATTGACTTGAATGAACATTTTGTTAAATGATAAAAAAAAAAGAATAAAAGCAGGAATGTGTGGCAAGTAGAAAGGGTTGGTTGCATTAAAAGAAAATGAATTAAAAACCTCACAAAGTACAACTTATTATGTGTAATTTTTCTTGCTAATTGCTTTGCAACGTCACTGCAGCGTCTCTGACTAAGCGGGGCCTAAGTGAAAAGGGTTGGAGCCAAACATTTACTCTGTCCCACCCTTTTTCACACTGTGTACATCTGTTCATTTTACCATTTGCTTTTTGTTGATTTTGAAGAGTAGTTTTAAATGAATATATTTGATTAATCTGTAATTACCTATTAAAACCAAACAAGATTTAGTAATCTTTATTTTTTATACTAGTTGTAAATTGTATACGGCTCTGGGTGTGGTGCAGTGAAAATTGCGGAGGGATTACACATTAAATTATTTCTTTGAATCCAGTCCTTTGCCGATAGCGCTGCCAGTGGCACAACACTTCACAGCGCTGACTCCCCTCTCAGATGTACTTTGAATATTTTATAGACTTTATATGTAGATGACAATGTCAGTGATGTGTAATTAGGAGCCATATTAGGTCTCAGCCACAATCACTTACAGACCAATGATTTTAACTGACCCGAGAGTTGACCCTGGCACAGTCACGCAACCACACGCACACTTAAACATGAAGGGTCTTTGGAGAGGGGGAGAGGGGGAGAGGAGTAGGCCAAGCAAGAATCTGCAGCTTAACAGTGAAGCAAAGGAGAGCGGCCCACAGTATTTAACACCTCAACATTCTGGGCTCAGAGAACAAATGCTTTTATTCACCACAAAAACTATGTGAGTAAGAACTGGATTGAAGCACTGACTTCTGCTAAATCAATACAACACTAAAATAGTTCTGAATGTTGCAAGCCAAGGATACACAAGTCGACTTTTTTGCAAGAGTGAGTCCACATTCTCTTATACAGAGTTGTAACAAGTTAATAGATTTGCAACTAATCCATCATTGAATTAGTGAATTGAGTAATTGTTTTTTGAATCATACACAGATTTATGGCTAAAAGAAATGGAAAAGTGTTTTAAATATGTCATTTTTACCAATTGTTTCCATGAAGGTGTTTTTCAGTGGAATATTCATTGGTCTTGAAAAACAACTCTTCAATTATTTAAATAAACAGTCTGCCAACTAATCAATTATCAATATAGTTACAAATAAAAGCTCCATAGTATTTTTATACAGTGAATACAATCAAATAAAAGCTTTGACATTATGAACAGGCGGATTATTACTTTTCAAGAGGAACACGCAACAAACGCTATGAACGCACTTGTCTAACTCTGGAGATTCTGATTCTACATTCTTCAGACAATGATGAGAAACTGCCGTGAATTATATATATGAAAAAAGGAGAGAGTAGAATTAAATCCATCCAACTTGACACCCTCAGACCATAAGATACACATATTGGACTGGCTTTATAGCAGCAGCACAGAAAATAAGAACTGCAGGGACAAAACTCACCCCTGTGTCCGGATATGTGATCCAGCCCAGCTCCGAGGTCGACTCTGATGTGTCCAGCAACATCACTGCAAAACATTCAAAAGTGATTTCATTTTTACTGTGCAAATGTCTTTCCAAGGTAAATAAAGGCATTGATACATATCTGCTTTGTGATACATAATAGACACTATACGCAACGCTTCTCAATTTTCTGGAAAAAAAACCCCAAAAAAGTAACCAAAAATGATTTTGATAATTGATAACTTGGCCAATCATTCTTTAGATTAATCGATTAGTTGTTTGATCGAGAAAGGGTTAGTGAATATTGTATTTTTTAAATACATTTGACCAAAACAATGATCCAGCAATGTCCCTGCAGAACTTGATAGAGATGACTTGTTACATTGAGAACATTAACATTATGGAATTATCCGAGGCATAAAACCTCTTGGCAGCATTTTAAAGTCAATATAAGGTTAAAAAAACAACTGATCGATTGCTAAATCATTCAATCCTAGAACCCCAGAAGATACTTGACTTTTGTTACACTGAGTCTGAAGCCGACCATTCATCGTGATAAAGGCAAGAATGGCTTCAGTGGTGTTCCTCTGTCAGAAACGATAAGTGCTGTGATGCTGTGGTGCGCTCCAGTGTCATGTCTCAGTGTGTAAAGGATGAGGCTGATTGTGCTGATGGCGCGCTGCGATTAAAGGTCGTGTCTTCTGACTTTAAAGGCCAGAGCTGCGTCTGTCGCCTCGTGCTGAGAAGAGAAGGATGACGCCTTATGATGTCAGCTGAGAGAGATGCCATAGAGTCTGTTTAGAGTTCACAGTGTGTATTTACTTTTAGGTACGATACAATTATCAAATGTTCCTGATTCCCCGATCCTTAGTTCATGTTTTTCAGGCTGGTTGTCTTAGAAAAAGGACATTCAGCTAGAATGATGAATGACAGAATGTGTTGATCTCAGCTGCATGTCTTCCTTCAAAGTCTAAACACAGTGGGGAAAATGTAGAATAAAATCTGTACACAAAACAAAACAAAACGGAAGGGCTAACTGAACACGTTCTTAAAAGTGAGTTTTCGCATTTAGCAGTTTATATTTTTGATTATGATCTTGAAAAAGAGATGATTAATCTCAATGAGCTTCTCCTGGTTAAATAAAGGTTAAATAAAATAAATAAATACAAATGTCAATATGAATCTTTTTGCAGTTGCTTAAATGTGGTATTGATAATGGGGAAGGCACCAAAAAGCTTTTTGCTTCTGCCTTCTCCTTTTGAGCTTTTTTCTTGAATTATATGTACTGTACCTGTAAAGAAATACATTCTAAAACTGCTCAAATAAAACTTCTACTACTGCTACTTCTCCTAGATAGATATGCAGTGATCTGTGAATAAAATATCTCACAAAATCAACTATTTTTTACATAATCATTCAGCCTAATAACAGAGAAAATATCTGCCCTGAGCACTGGAGTGCATTTGGGCATAATTTACTTTATGGTTTAAGTGCTTCAAGAGGAAAAGGGAAATCTCAGATGTTGAGCGCTGCGTGCAGACACATGGAAGAGTCTTCAGTTTTCCATTAGTATTCCAAACCGCGGAGGCTGCCCTGCTCCAGTCTGGCACCGTCTTCGCTCCACTCAGCCAAAGAGACGGGACAGAGCGCCGGCCAAACTTTGTCACATACGCAGAGGTGGCAAAAACATCAGCTGCAGATTCACACTGCAAAAATATCATCTTTGGTATAAATGACCAATTCAGTTAAAGAGCTATTTTTCAACAATCCATCATCGCTTTTCTAGTACTTTTATCTAATCCAGAAAAAAATAATGATAAGTGTATTTGTTCAAAACCATTTAAGAAATATATTGTGAGTATTTTTTGGGGACATTTGATTGTCTGATTTGGTGTTTCTGTCACAGACTCACAACGCCCCCTCAGGCCTGGGATGTACTGTACTCTCTCAGGTGAATTAGATTCTTCTTCATCTTTGTGTGGTGTGGACGGATACATTTACACGGGTTTATTTTTTTTAAACTATGAGCCGTTTCAGCTCTGCCTACTTTAAGCAGTGTTTTTGTATTCTGGAAGCCAATTAAACCAATTAAACAAATTAGAAAAATAATGTAATAATAATAGTAATAGTGGCTTGCACTTGTAAAGCGCTTTACAGGCGTGTTAAAGTCTCTCACTGAAAACATAATTGTCAATTTAACCAGTGTATTACTTTTTGCAGTGCAGCAGACTGAACAGATGGAGCTAATGAGGAAAATGTGTAGCTCCTCCATCCATTGTATTACTCTGATCACCTAAAGAGCCATTCAGAGCAGAGCTGGCTGTCTCTATTTGTATTTACAAACACACACGTCTTCTCTACAATTTGAATCCATCGTTCTTTCACATCATACAACTGTATACCACAAAAAGACCTTTTGTTCTGGCTGTGACAAGCAGACAAAGAGCAGTAGGAACATAATATCTGCATATGTTCATCACCACTACTGTTGGCTGTGATCGGAACAGACAGAGAAAATCAATGTCCCAGAGAGATGGCTCTTTTCCCTGTCTGCGTCTATCTTCAAGGAATTGCAACAATTTCCATATTGCATTAAAATAACATATTGATGGTTGATATATTGCCTTGGAAAAATATTGCGATGAAGGATAAGATGGAGAGTACTTTAATGCCATGGACCCAAACGAGATAATCGTAGTAAACTATTCTTTGGATTTGTCCATTTAATAAACGACCTGAGCTGAATAAAAATTACAGACAAAAAAACGCTCAGTTTTTGAATGATGTGGATATTTATTGTAGTCATAATATTAAACGTTATTTAATGGATTTCTATAGGAAGAAAAAAGGCTCCTAAACTAATAAGCTATAGTCCCATTTTGTTCCCAAATCTGATTCATCTATCTATTTTTGTAAACTCATCTTTAGTATGAAACCCGCAGATGGAGCCTCAAATCTGTCATTCAGTCCCTCCTCCCATCGGCTGCACCCACACGAGCCTGTCTTTATGTCAATCTGTCTTCACACTTCTTCCATGGGTTCAGACTGATGCCATTTGTGAAGAGAAAAGAATACAAATGGACTATGACAGAAAAGGCAAAGCCACAGACATCAGAAAGAGGAAAAGTTGTGATAGAGCCTAGAGCTGAGATTGGCTCATAAACTTTTCGCGGCACCATAGAAAAAATAAAGAAACAAAATAAATAAGTAGGAACTAATTTGAATAGATAAAAGAACTAAAGAAAATTAATCAAAAGGGAACTAGTTCACATTTGATGTTTTTTTATTGTCCAAGAGTGCCAGTAATCAAAACTCCAATAAAGTCAAACTTATGTGCTTAAGTTATTAGTAACACCACAGCATCCAAATGTCATTGTATTGATCTTCATATGGAAATTATATATTGTAATAGTATTCTCAAGTGTCCTCACTGTGTGATGTCATACAAATATGTAACTTTGAAGCAGGCGGCAGGCAGATTTGATATTGAAACACTATTCAGGGTTAGGTTTTCTTAATATTGATTGCAGACTGAAATGTTTTAACTGAGCACGGTAAAGCAGAGTAAGTTTTAATGAATCTGGAACCATCTTCATGAGTTAACATCTTGATTAAGTAACAGTTATAAGGAATAAAACAAGCTGAAATGAGAATTACATGGGAATTGCCCATTGATTTGTTCCCACGATGCCCAGCCCTACCTCCAGCCCTCCTCTGATTGTCAACAGAATCAAATATCATTGCCGTTTTCATCAGATACCAAGGCAAGGAACAGCGTGTCATTCCAATTTCAATTAACCCTTTGCTTCAGGGCGAGTCAAGCGTAAATAAAATATGGGAAACTATTTAAACATGAATATTTCAGCTACTTATCCTGCCTCTGTTGAAGCTTGGGACCCACGGGCTCATGTTCGCTATACTCTTTCCAAGTCTTGTACCATATATAGTGCGGTTTACTAAGATGTAGGGCAAGAATCCAGAATAACATATATACACTGGAGTATATACTGTAGCACTGTCACAAACCTTTACAAACTAACATTTCAGACTCGATTTCGATCATGAATAGACTCATAACTTGATACTAGGGCTGGGCGAGCTGTGGGACAAAAAATAACATTTTACATTTTAAATAAACATTTATCAAAAAAGAAAACAAAAAACTTTATAATACAATATTTGTTTTACTGCCAAAACACCAAGTGAACTCCATTATTGATGTATTTTGATACAAATTCATGTCTTGATATTTGTGATCTAACAAAGTTGGGACCTTTTCGAGCCTTCTTTAAAATTTTAAACATATTTTAAAATTGCTCACAAGGAATGTCCAATATATTGCTGTTCATGTTTTTCATTATTTTTTGTCCATATTTGCTCAATTGAGTATACTGGTTTGTATAATTATATGGCTCTTCACAGTAGAAGTAGAACGCTCCATTGATTTGAATGTAATTTCAAAATGTTCTACCGGTCATTATTTTTTGATAACGGGCCACTGAAACCAATAATGGCCGCTGCCAATGGCAACGACATTCGTGCTTGTAATTCACGTGTGTCAGATCACTTCGCAAGTAGTCTGGCCACTTCGTCAACAAGCTTTTTCAGCGACTCTAATTTTGTCTCTGCAAGAAAAGCTGGGGGAATCGCTCCTGAGGTTAATAGAGTCAACTTACCCAGAGATACACCACCATTCCTCATTTCCAACTGCACTTTCAACGGGGACGTCCAGTTTAATATAAATAAGTATCTAGCCTAGCTGTTACTCACCTAGCCACGTTAGTGTGGCCCATTATCATTATACTGTAGATCTATGGTGTGGCCACACATATAGCCATGGTGAAGCTCCGCTCAATAAGTAAGGGATAATGTAGAGGTACTCCAGGGCAGAATCAGACGAGAGGGAGGGTCTGATTCAGTCCGGTTCGCCCTGTCGGTACTTATTTTCCTTTTTTTAAGATAATTCTGTCAGTACTTACTTTCTAATAATTTGTTCCATACAGTACATTATCCCTTACATATAGATTTTCAATACTTTCAATTACCCTAATTTAACATTCTTCTT